ATTAACTGAAGAAGTGATGCTTCTATCTTATTCTACAAACTTTCTGGTTGCACTGCAGGAGATCTGTCCGCACTCTGTATGACTAACTCAAGATTTCATACAATCTTTGTTCTGAAATCTCTGCTGATCATTGAGTCATAAGGTTAACCATTCTCAAGTTGTCATTATTCTGATATTTTAAGGGTCTAGGATTTTTGGATAAAGCTATTATTTCAGTCAGTATTTTTTCATCGTCTTGGGTATGGTATTATTTACAGCCGACTTTGGAAAAATAACACCTATCAATGTAACAGTTTTGCATACTTACACTGCACCTGTTTCTGCACTATAAATGATTATTTATAGTCTAAACTTACAGAAAATGTTCATGGTAACCAGATCTCTGTGCATCTATGTGCCTACTGAGTGCTTCTTTTTCTTAGTTTCCAATTAGAGAAGCACATTTAAAATAAAAAGCTCTTTCTCACTTTGTCTTCAAGTCAACAAAAGTTAAGGCTCTTTGATACTGGCTGTATAGATGACTCTCTCAACTGTGGTCGTAATGAAGTATACCAATCCCATTAAAATCCTATTTCCAAAGTGCCTTTGAAGAAGTCCCCTACTTTCTCACTATCCCCAGATTCAACAGATGTCTTTTTGGTTGTACTTAAGGTTTCTGTTTATTCTTTTTGGAATCTAATTTCATCACTTAGCTTCTGTGGCATAATAGAGACAAGCTGGATGAATTATCTCCTAACTATTTCATCATGAAAAAAAAGCCCAAACTGGTCTCAAAATAATTCTGATGTTTGGAGCCTTTCAGAAGGAAAGAGAGAGAAGGATAATCAAACAGAAGCATAATAAAATTTTCTAAGCTAATTTGTAAGTGAAGCAACAGTGGCACAACTGAACAAGGGTCTCACATACTGTTTCTACACACAATTCCAACGTTTCTTTAGAACATGAGCTTGTTGAGGGCAGAGATCAAGCCTTGTAGCTCTTTGTGTGTGAAGCACTTAGTATTGTGACTGGCATATAGTAGGAACCGAATAAATGGCAATTGAATACAACTTAGTCTAAGCTCTTTTAGGAAGGAAAAAAAATGAAGTTCACGGTAAAGAATCTAACTAGTATGCTCTCCAAATACATATGTGCTTTGTACATCTGGCATTCCATGTCATAGAACAAGGGCCTGGAGAACCAGATTAGGGGTATGAAGTAGGAGCTTGGGTATCACATAGGGAGCAGGACTAAATTATGTCTACTGTCAAAATCCAATATGGATCGGTCTTTGAAAGCACTTTTGTTCTGTATTCCTCAAGATCTTCCTTGGTGATGGGTAATGACCAGTTTGATACATGGTGTGCTGTTAATAGATAATGACAGCTTAATATGCTAGTTCTTCTAGGCAACACATTTAACTTGGAACAGAATCCTTTAATCTGAAGGTGTGACTCATTCTAATCCTGGGAATTACAGCAATTTGTGGGTAGAATGGTCCAGGGTAATGTCTTGACTTCTCATTTTCCCTCAAATTCATCATATCTAATCTCTAGAGTCCTGCACTCATTACTCCCACACTATTTACGGACTGGGTCTTACATCTTCTGTCTTCTCTCCTGGATTGTTGAATTGGCCTTTCTCCTGCTCTTCCTGCCCCAGACCTCTCCATAAATCCAATATCCATATTGTAGCCAGAGTGTTCTTTTAAAAGAACTCTTACCCCTGAATCACAGGAAAACAATGATTACATCCAATCAATGTCTGCACATCACTCAAAGAATAATGTTCAAAATCGTGTGACATTCATTAGGGAAATGTAAATCAAAACCACAATGAGTTATTACTTCATGTTCATTAGGATGGCTATTATTTTTAAAAATGAAAAATAACAAGTGTTGGAGAGGATGCAGAGAAATCAAAACACTTGTGAATTATTGGTAAGAATTTAGAATGGTGCAGCCACTGTGGAAAACAACATGGTGGTTCCCCAAAAAGTTACACAGAATTATTATATGATCCAGTAATTCTACACTTAAACATATACCCCAAAGAAGTCAAAGCAAGTACTGAAATGATATTTGTAGGCCAGTTTTCCCAGCAGTGTTATTTACATGATAGCCAAAATGTGGAAACAATCCAATGTCCATCAAAAGATGAATGGATAAACAAAATGTGTCATAGTATTCATATAGTGGGACATTATCCAGATTTAAAAATAAATGAAATTTGGGTACATGCTGCAACATGGATAAACCTTAAAAATACTATACTAAGTGAAATGTCAGACATAAAGGACAAGTGTATGATTCCACTTATTTGAGCTGTCGAGAGTAGGGAAATTCAGAGAGAGAGAAACTAGAATAGTGGTTACCAGTGACCATGGGGAGGGACTAACAGGAAATCATTGTTTAATGGGTGTAGAGTTTCAGTTTGAGATGATAAATATGTTCTCGGAAATGGATAGTGGGGATGGTTGCAAAACATGTAGTTAATGCCACTGAATTTTACACTTAAAATGGAGAAAATGGTAAATTTTATGTTATATATATTTTTTACCAGAGTAAAAATATAATTAATTACAGGCAACTTCCTGCCTCACCTTTTTACCTCCAGCATCTCTATAGTTAGTGACAGGTCATCATCCACACCACACACCCTGTCTACACCAACCTGACACTTGACCACGTCTCCAGGACTCCTCCTTGCCTGCTCTCTCACAAACTGGATGAGGGGCTGGACTGCAGTAACCAGTAATGCACCACACATATCCTTTACCCTAAAGGTACTGCACAGTAATGATCTGTCTCATAAGATAGGAAACTTGTTAATGGAAAGAACTGAGTGTTTCACATCCTGCCTATTTTTTGAGCAATCAACTCGATATGCGGTAGGCTGTCAATAGATACTGAGAGAAGGAGAAAGCAGCTAATTAAAAAAAAAATCAAGATTGGAAGGAATCTTAGAGGTTATTTAGTCTAAACTTCTTAAGAAAATAATTAAATGCTAATTTGACATAGTAGCTAAAATGTTGCCTTCCAAAGGTCTAATTTCCACTTGAAATTCAGTAGCAGCCATTTTTAACCTTTGCCATTGCTCTTATCATTTATTGACTCATATTTGAGTCATACATTCATCATGTCAATTTTTTTCAAACTTTAATGAGCCTTATAACATCTTCATAGTGTTTGCTCTACCCATGGACTAGTTGTCCTAATGTTCAATTAAGTTGATCTTTCGCTTAAGCAATATTGTCAATTAAATCAGTTTTTAAGTGTTGTTTCTTTGTCCTACTAAGTTAAAACAGATAATTAACTATGAAAATAAAAACTTTCCCATATGCTATCTAAATCATCTTTTTGCACAATGTGGTATGTAAATCATGCTTTGGGAAATCAATCTGAATTGTATGATTGACTGCTGTTTTGAATCCAGGGTACTGCATGCAAAACTTTTGATTCCTCAACAAATTTTAAGACTCCCTGAAAATTCCTTAGCTCCTTTGATGGCTGTCAAGCTTTCATTACATACTCAGCAAGTAAGTTGACTAAATATATCTGTTATTTCAGAGATGGTACATATGATCTGCCCTTATAAAATCAAAGCCATTCCACAAGGTTAAGAAATTTGGACGTGAGGTGTTGACAAAGATTCCACTCTTGACCAAATCCTATTCAGGCTCCCCTGAAAGTTTCAACCAGCCTTTGACTTATGAACTTCTGTGTTCATCTCTGCACTGTCCAATTTTAGCAAGAATTCTGCTAAGTTGGCTTAACGACAATCCCCAGTCCTTCATATCTGATCACTCTCTACATTGAATTGGATTTCTCATCCTCCACCATCTTCCAGGTGATAACCCTGGCCTGTCTTCAGCAAATATCCTGCTAGATTGGTTTAGCCAAAATTCCCCCTTCCCTCTGATATTTCCTCCTTGTCATGTTCCATCCACTGATCACCACCCTTCCTCTTGGCTAGAAATTCTGACTTGCTCATCATTCAGAGTTGAGTTCCATCTTTCCACCAAACTGCAAAATCCCATTTCAGTGGTCCCTATACCTCTCACCATGCCTGCCCCTCCAGTAAGATGGAATAAAAGCTATCTTACTGTGCATTAACAAACATCATTGAATATTTTTTCTATAACAGAATATTATTTTTTCTTTAACAATGTCCATAAGGATGTATCTTTAGACAACCAAATACAAGGTGGTAGTTGACTAAGGGTCACAGTTGCTACACTCTTGCACATTTGCACCAAATGCACCACACATTCCACAGACTCTTCCATCCAGTGACTGAGCTTATTGGGGATACTAAATTAGGCTTATCTCTGGGAGACACAGGACTCCTCTCATAGTTAACTTTGGTTTCAAGATGCCCTAAAGGATTGCTAAACCCTATACACATTGCATAGCAGTCTAGATGGTTCCTCCAACTTTCCTTCTCTGTCTCCTTCACTTAGGGTCAGACTTGCATCATAGTTTGATGACTCTGTCAGACTCTCTCCATTTTCTCTCACAGGCATTTATCTTAATACAATTTTGCACATTTAAAATTTTACTGAGAGCTACTTCTTGGAAGACCTGGACTAACACAGGAGGTATTAACAAGAACAACATAAATGCCAGTAGTATTGTAAGATGAATTTGTTTATGGGAGTTTGGGGTATAGTTAATTCTGAACTCTGACAATACTGGGTTGAGTTTATGAATTACTAACTTTTTTAGTTTGCTGGGGGGCTGCCATAATATAGTACCACAAACCAAGTGGGTTAAACAATAGAAATGTATTTTCTCACAGTTCTGGAGGCTATAAGTCCAAGATCAAGGTGTTGGCAGGGTTGGCTTTGCCTGAGTCCTCCCTCCTTGACTTGTAGATGTCCATCTTCTCCTTGTTTCTTCACATCATCTTCCCTCTATGTGTGTCTGTGCTAAGCTCCTCTTTACATAAGGAGACCAGCTATATTGGATTAAGACTCATTTGAATTTAATCACCTCTTTAAAGGTCCTATCTCCAAATACAGTTACATTCTAAAATACTGAGAGTTAAGATGTCAGTATATGAATTTGGGGGAACATAATCTGGCTCATAACACTAGCCAATAGCAGCTGGATAAGATGATAGAATAGAAGGACGCTCATAGCTCACCCTCTCCCACAAATACACCAAAACTCACATCTACGGACCCACTCAGCCAACCAGAGCAACTGCCGAACTCCAACAGAACATCGCTCTCTTAGAAAGACAAAGACGCCGAAATCTGGTAGGAGAAAAGGAAAAAAGAAAGAAGAAAAAGCAGAACAGCGGGACTGGTACCGCAGGGAGGGAGCGGCAAAGGAGGACTGGCGCTCGCTCGCTGGGTCTCCCCTCTCCAACGGAGAGGCCAGTGAGATGGAGGGGGGAGCCTCCAAGGCTCAGATCTTCCCCGAGCACCCCTTGACTGACAAAACTAAGTTAAACGGGCACAAAGGGTCCCCGTGACACCCAGCCCGAGAGGCGAGCCGGCAGCTGGGGCCAGGCCAGGCTCCCCAAGCCAGGTGGAGGACTGTGGTGGCTGCACTGAGGCAGCCCCAGGGGACTGCAGGGGGGCTGTGCACCATGGCTAGGAGGGGATACGGAGCAAAACAACCTCAGTCCCCCATAAATTGCAAAAAAAGCAAAGCAACATGGCTGGTGTGCCCTGGGGGTAGGGGCATCGTAGCCTTTGTCTCCTCAGACCTGCGGCGCCATTACTGGGGCTTCTTGCAAGAAGAGAGGCAGGGGGCAGCCACAGCCTCCATCGCCTCCTATGCGCAGTACCCAGGCGGGGATGGGGCCGAGCCCTGAATCCGCACCCAGGGGCTCTGCAACCTCCTAGGCAGGACTGAGACTTGTTTACAGAGGCAGATAGGATCTTTCTTCCCTGGCTCTTCAGAGAACTCACACGCCAAGACAAACAAGGAGCTGAGATTTGGCAAAGAGCAGGGGCGGGGCTGTTCTGCGGTCTTCCCTGAGCCCACCTACGGAGCACCAACCCGAGGTGGAGCAGGCAGCTGCACAGAGCAGCGGAGTGACTCACACCGGGAGAGGGCGGGTGACCCCCCCCTGCCTTTCCGGCAGGAATGCAGCACCTGACCACGGTGCTTGGAGGGGGCGCTATCCGCCCATCTGCCTCACCCGAGCGCAGCATCTGACTGCGGCATTGGGAGGGGAAGTGACCTGCCCACCCACCGGCCACAGTGCCAGAGAGATATGAGCGATATGAAGAATCAGAGGAACCACTCCCAATTAAAAGATCAAGAAAAATCCCTGGAAAGCACAATCAAGGAAATAAGATTGATGGGCTACTAGATCAAGATTTCAAAAAAGGAGTGATCAAAGTACTGAAGGAACTAAAAGAAATAGTGTTTAGAGATATAAAATATGTCAAAAATAAAATAGAAGCTATAAAGAAGCACCAAGTAGAATTAGTAAACTCATTTGCTGAGATGAGAGCTGACCTAAAGGCTGTGCAAAGCAGGCTA